GGAGGTTTGTAAATCTTACCTCAAGGAACGTAACCTCAATATGTCATATTATAGATACAAACGAAAATAATTATGTAGCATTTATGTACAAACTAATACCAGACCCAAGTGTAGAATGCATAGTAGAACATTTTCATATAAAGAACATTGAGGTTTGAAGTCTAATTCGTATCGCATTATGTATTGCAATATTTGTAATACATAATGCGATACGAATTAGACTTCAAACCTCAATGTTTTTTATATGAAAATGTTCAACTATGCATTCTACACTTGGGTCTGGTATTAGTTTGTACATAAATGCAAATAATAAGATTTACAAACGCAAAAACGGTATCCGACTCTGTCGGTAAATCAAACCACTCCAGCATCCCCTTAACGTCTTTAATGGGCAGAACTATTTCTTAAACCCATCAAGAACTGTGGAACTATTGTAAATCTATAGGGAACTCGTAAAAAAAGTTAAAATTTTAAATAATGGGGGCTAACTTCACAGGGGTGTGTTAATGAATCAAACAGAAGTGTATAAAATCACAGATCTAATTTTTTCCATTTGATGCTATCGTTTGTTATTATAAAGATATATGTATATGAAAGAAAACAACTTTTCTCACATAATAATTATTAGCCCCGCTCTACTTTACATACACACTGTTTTTGTCCAGAATATTGAAACGAAACTTCGTTATCTTCAAGCATTTTTCCTTTCTAAAATACACACGATTTTTTAAGTAAATATTATCGAAATTTGTCACGTTGATTCGCTGCAACATTTAACAGTCGTCCAGAGTCGTTAATATTTAATGTTTTCCTTTGAACACAGGATAATTAAGTTTCTCATTTTCTTAGCTAAATAATTTCGCTTTATTCCACATTAATATACCAATTTTACCGAAATAAAATTGACTACGGGGGAGAGGGGGCATATGTATAATATAAGGAAAGCGGGAAATATGATTGAAAGCGCGGAAATTAAACGTATTTTCGATCTAGGCAATTTTTTTTCTCTAAGTCGTTCCGTAGATCAATGCAATGCGTAATGCGACGTGCGATTGAAAGAAGGAATATCAGGCAGGAAAACAAAAATGACGCGACACACGCACGGCTCTGTCTTACGCTCTGCGTAAAGAATTTAACTCTCTTCTGAATGGATTGTGCTGTTTGTTGTAGCCACACAAGAAAATCGTCAAGCAGATTACACCTGTCGAACAGAGACTAACTTGCCGGGCAATCAGCAAGACGCATTCTTCTCTCCTCGACCCGTTCCCTTCTGGTCGCATTCCGAAGGTTGGTGGGGCTATTATCCCGTGCCATATAATGCTCCATCCAATAAGCCCGCGAACGAGGCGGACGAACGCTCCTTTCCCTACCTACGATATCCAGACGAAAACGCGTGCGTTGGATATGAATTTTTTTATCCGGTTTACGACGAAAACTTTGCGAACGTGGCACCGATCAAAGTTATAGACCGAGACAATTCTCCAGGCCGATACGGTTACGTTGCCGTCATTTGCCCCCAACCGGGACACAATGACGTCCAATCGGGCGTTGATTGTACAAATATAATGCCAAATAGCTGCGACTACATTCACAATCGCTGTTCCACTGTCCGCTCGTCTCCCGCTCGGAACGATAGTTACTTTCCGCAAAACGCCTCGGTCGACGAATCGGGAAACACCAACGAGATTAATCACTTGGACGCGCAGCCGAGTGGGACGTACAGTCCCAAAAATGTCTGCGAGAGCTACAACAGCGACAGAAATTGTCCCGTGACGTCGATGAACATAGTCGACGAGGAAGACAGCAGCGCGCCGGATAGACCCGGCGGAGCAATAATCTCTAATAACATCGAGAAGTCCAGAAAAACATTCGGTCTGCACATCAACGTGCCTAATTACACGTACGTAGATACCAGCGACTCCAGCGATTCCAGCGATTGCAGCGATTCCAACGATTCTAGCGACACCAGCGATTCTATCTCCGATAACGAGCACTGTTCCGATTCTCGCCAGAAATATAACGACACCACTTCCGACAATACACCGTCCAACAGCGATTCGGATTCATACGAGGGTTATTCAATGGATCCTTACGAGAAACCGAGGACGTATCCGCGCGCCGTTGCCACCGACGAGGACTGTGCCGATGCCGCTCACTCGGAGTGCCCGATTAATGTGGATACTATTGATAATCCATCCAGACATTCGCAGAACGAGAACAGTCGCGACAAGACACTCCCTAAGAATCGTATCGGTTATTCGAACGATCGAAGTTCATGCGTAACGTTGAAGCGAGATCTCGCGACGAGCGTCGAGTCGAAGGGGTGCATCGAGGAGGGTTGCGCTGATAATCAAGGTAGCCCTTGCTCCAGTAAGATGAATCCCGTAGGCGATAACGTATCGAATACGGAGCGGCGTGACGAGGAGAAGCAGGTAACCGACAACGCGGCTCCTCATCAGTTGAGTGTAACTTACGAGGACGTGGAACGATTGAGTTCCGAGAGACTGCGTCGCGAGAGCAAGAAGAAGCTCGAGGGACGTAGTAACACTTCCCGCGAGGTGGTCGATGATCCGCCCGACGACACGGAAGCTACCATGGTCAGCGTGAGTTTGCCCCTGAAATTCAGGTTTTCCGTGTCCGAGGACAACGAGGACATCACCACCGTGACAGTCGGCAATAGCGAAATAAAGGCGGAGAGATCCCGCTGCGGGTATCCCGTGAAAAATGACAAGAGTGACGACGTTTGTGTCAATTTCCACGTTGGCAACGACACCAGCGTGGACTTTACCGTGAAGAGACGCGTGTCGGACGCGACTGCGAGCACAAGAGACGAGGCGAGCCTCGAGGTCGCGGTGCCGCATGTGGATTTCACTTTTAAGAAAGAGCCAACGAATGTCGGCGAAACCAACAGCGGAGAACAGAACGCGGAGACGGAATTCCCAGTTACGGAAACCACGGGATGTCACCGAATAAACGTTGAGGAATCGAACAGTGCTGACGATTGCATCACCGATTCAGAGTCGGTGGAGGCTACGCGAGTAGCCTTGCCAGTGAATGACGATGGAAACTGCGTCCAAGCGGAATCCACTTGTAACTACTTCGGGAATATCGATGGCAACGGAACCGCTGACGAGTCGAGACTCGCCACGTCCGAATGCTCTTGGATGCGAGATCCCGAAGCGCTTCAAGTTGACGATACAAATGAAAGCAGTCAGAAGAACTGTTCCATCATTGTGGATAATAGTGACGATCGATGTGTCGACCCGGAACTCTACCAGAAATATTTACTGAGCCTCCAGGACTCTCGCGAGGACACCGATGACGAGGACAGCGGTGTCACTTCCGACATAAGCCGGATGATATCCGAGGTCGACGCGGAGTGTCGCGAGAACGACACGGATTCGGAGTGCACCGTTTCGAAAAATCAGAAGAAGTATCAACGAACGCAGACGCACTCGCGGCTCTTTCGGCTTCTAAACGACGATTCCAATCTACCCGATTGTGCCAGCACGGACCCCGGCACCAGAAAGGAGTATCTCAGCTTACCGCTTAAGACGAACGCGTTCCACTACGACGACAGTTATTGCTCCAATTATTCCAGCGGTTTAACGTCACCCGAATATTCACCCGTTCACGAGCAGTCCTGTCGGAAATTTCACGACGCGGCGACGAGCGGGAATGCCGCGAGCTTACCGGACGTCAAGCTCCACCGTCTGGCGCACCAGCCGGAAATTCCCACGAAAGACAATTCGTACCTTCCACCCTGGAAGGGCGCGAAATTACCCAATCTACACGAGCACGATGTAATACCCTCTTTAGCTTTCAAGTTCCTCAACAGTAAGATGCCCTTTTGGACCTACAAGGTGAACGTGCTGTGCCCGAGAATCAAGAGTACGAAAAGCGTGCCGCAAGCCTTGCTGGCACGGCAAATCGACAAGAACTAAACGATCTCGCCGGTGATTTCCTCCTATCCCGAACGTCCTTGTGCGAACGCTAAACCAACTATTGCTGATGGCCCTAGGGTAGAATGAGGCCATTTACCGCTGCGAGCAACCGCTCTCTACGATCCACGGGACATATTTTTTTCTCTCGATTCTCCTCACAAGACAGGGCTGAGTGTGCCCAAGGCGCTCTACGGGCTACGTGATTTTTTTTTCTATCGGTACATATCGTTTCCATATATTCGTGTATCATTCTTGATTTCTTCTCCATATTTCCCACTTTCCTTTCTTTCGTTTTTTTTTCTCTGGTCGTTTACAGTTGAACCTCTATATTTGTAACATATCGCGATCATCCTGTTTCGGACACGTCTTTTTAAACCTATTTTCACGTGCATGCGCAGAATAAAAATAGTTATCGATACGCGTAATGTATTTCTTTCGACTTTCACTCGCGGTTTCTCACTCTGCGTATGGTCGCGTGTTTACCGGAGAAATATAAAGTTGTAGGAAAGGTGGGGACGCAAAAAGTGTTAAGAATACGGAGATTTGACTGTTTTCTTTTCTTTTTGTACTTCTTATCGTTAATTCGATTATAGACGCATGTAATCTCTTTCCTCATTTTTTTTCTTTTGTCTTCTCTTTCTGTATCTCTCTCACTCTCTCTCTCTCTCTCTCTCTCTCTCTCTCTCTCTCTCTCTCTCTTCCTTTTTTTGCATTTTGCAAAAAGCCTCTAATTGTTAGATACCAACGCTTGATTGCTTTATGCATGTTGTGACTAATGTGACTGATTAAGAATATCAAACTAGTTCGAAATATTCGAGAAACGAATAAGCAATGGAAGAAATCATTTCATAGTTTGATGAAGTTTACGTGTACCAAATACAATAATTTTTGCAGTTGCTTAATATTAAATTTTATCTGACAATGAATGTCCAAAGTAAAGAAATTTTAAAAGAAAGGAGTAGCGATGAATGAAGATTGATATAATATACGTATATGTGTATACACACACACCTATACATATATACACGCACACTTACTCACTCGTTCATTTACACATACACATAAGCACACACAAATGTACACGTGGAACACACGCGCGCCATTCGTAAATTTTACCTAAACAGAGTATAGATAATTGATATGTATATACTTTTTAAATTTGGTTTTTTGTATGTTGCTAATATAAAGAGACTGCTCTTGAAAAATATAATTCCTTATTTTTCAGGTCCCGACACAACTGACTACTGAGGATTGATGAAATTCTGCTTAGACAGAGTCGGATTATTTAGTGCGCTTTTTTTCTATTTTGTTTACAATAATCCATAGTACTTATGTCGCCGCTTGCCGATCCATCGACGAAAAATTAATCGAATTTTCTTCAAGACGGACCGCGAGTCGCTAATAAATTATAATATTTGGATTTCAGTATCGGATGCTTGTGTTGAATGGAAGTTTGCCATGAATAATTTTTCTGCATAAGAATGCTGAATTTTGTTCTTAATCGTTACTGTATAAGGACGTTGAATATTTTAATTCTGTGTAATATTTTTAAATTAATTTAAATTTGCTTTTGAAATTTCAATTAACCATAATAAGCATTAATTTCGAAGATTTTTAATCATTTTTCCGAGGAAAAATGTTGAACATTCTTATTAAGAGATCGGCTGTCTGTTATGTACACGTCGTAATTATATTATATATTATATTATGTGAGCAGGAACACGTGGTTTGCTTATTTAAGTTGAATGGATCGTTATAGAAATTGTAATAACACTCTTTTTAAAAATATTAATCATAATTTAAAAATATATGTGTAAACGTACATATGTCTACATATATATATTATATATATATTGTTAATCTTGTTACCTGAATTACTGTATCACTTATCCAAGTTGTAAAATAAATTATTTATAAAATTGATAATGCTAATCAGGATTGGTAAGTAACTCGTTACTTGTAACGCAGTTACAGTTACAGTTACTTCTTTTTGGTAACTCTAACTTAACTTTGTCACTTTCTCTCCATTTACTCGTATAACTGCATCTTAACTCACAATCAGTTACACTAATAGTTACTTATATATTTTTTAAACGCGCACAAGTCGCATTAGGCCTTGCCTATGCGCACAAAAATATCCCGAATGTATTTATTAACGATCTCTTCAAAGTAAATCAACTCTGCAAAAATTTTACGTGAAATTAAAATAAAATTTAACAAACGCATAACAACTTCGATCTTATTATATGCATGCGATTGCATAGTCAATATTATATTTTTTCTAATTTCTACAGCTAATGTTGTAAAATTTAAAATAAATACAATAAAATTACAATGTAATGTTTCTAATAACTATTTTAGTGTAATTTAATACATTTTATTAAAAATATATTAACGTATTGAGTTTTTTTTATTAAAAATTTGTTTTCTTAGAAGTATATTTTATTAAAAGTATTGTATTAAAAATAATAGCAAATACACTGCTCAAAAGAAATATGGCATAGAAAAATTTTATGCAAAAATTGGTCAACTTTGACTGACGGTAACTCCGCGAAAAATCATCGTAAAATTATGTTCTTTTTTTTAAATTAAAGCTTGAAATCTCTACTTTAAGATACTATAGTTATTTTTTAGGTGTGATGCATCCCTACCACTGTAACACCTTAAATGTGAGGGCATGTTTGTTATATTGAAAATTGCAAAGTTTGACGGAGTGCATGGGCTAGGTACATTTTTTTCGGGGATACTGTTTGCAGGAACATAAAGTACAAACCTTCCTCTTCAATTTAAAAAAAAAAAGTCCCCTT